CAATGTGGAACTCCGACAAGTGTTTGTTTGGATCCTCCCCTCGTAAGCCATGGAAGGATGGGAGTAGATGAATGAGTCCAGACTTTAGCTCAAATGTGACCCCCGTATCAAGAGTTGGAAAAGTGATACATAGGGGTTGTTGATTAAGATTCGGAGCTGTAAGCTCCCTCAATGTTCTCGTCTCAAGAGCCATAGTGATTGACTCTTCGGTCTCGCTAGATTGAGAACTAGCACTTGATGATTCCTCCGAAGAAGTATTTGGAAATAAATTCCTAAATCTTTCGAAGGTTTGTTTCGTTTGTGGGTTTGTTTGGTAGATGATTTCGTTTATAGATCGGGTTCTTACCATAAACTCAAACAAGCTCAGAAGAAATAGAAATCTTTATACTTTCAACTATTTTTTTTTTCTTTTTTTTTTTAAAAATGGAATAAAAAGAAAAATAAATTGCCTTTCCCCGGCAACGGCGCCAAATTTGACGTGCACTTTGTCGTGTGTGCACTCAAAATAATTTCAATACAACACTTATACGTAGTATAGTGAAGTAGAGTTCGTATCCACAGGGAAAGGAATAATTTATCTTTTATATAAATAGTAAATAAGGGGGGGTTTTGATCGAGTGATTTAATTAAGATTGAACACGAAGATGAACGAGTTATGTGGTTTAATTTAAAGATAAAAGAGACTTGGCATTGCTACTTTCCACTTGTTGATATATTTTAGTCGATCATTGTTATATCTGTAACTTATCTCCTCTCGAATACTCAATCGAGGAGTATATCCAATTCATCGAGGATAGTTATTAACAACGACCGTTCATTAATAACCCTTACTATTAGCCAAGTATAGAACAAGCGCCGTATACTGACTTGATAGTAACATTTAATCGCTTAACTCCTTGATGAAATCAATTGAGATCGATAACCTCAACACAAGCGGTTTCGGTTTAACCAACACAATTAATCCCTCTTAAGTCTATTAACCACGACCGTGCATTAATAGACCGAAGTTACTTACTTGTGAAACTATCAACGATTAACCATTGGTTCGTTGATCGTCTCTAGTAGTAATTAATATATGAAACAAAACTAGTTGATCCTTTAAGTAATGTTCAAAATATTAATATGAAATATGAATAGGAATTAATTGATACTCAAGGAAGAATATTAAAGAAGATGAATCCTACTATCGTTAATATTAAGATGTTAACTAATTGTCATCTTAGTAACACTCCCCAATATTAACATAGAGGAAGAAATGACTATTACTATAACTAATGTCAAGATGTTAACTAATTGTCATCTTAGCAACACTCCCCAACATTGATATAGAAATAGCATTTAAAGGAAGAATTAATATTCAAGGAAAAGAAGTTAAGAAAATAACTCACAACTTTGATAATCAACAAGCTTCAAGAGCAATACCAAGAAATGGAAGTTTAGCTCCTCATTTGGAGACTAAACATGCTAAAAGAAATATAAAGAAATGCTATTCTAAACTGAGCTTAAGAGTGTATATGAATTGGTGTCTAGAAGTGAAGGAAAGGAGGTGTATTTATAGACTTTTTGAGGTGCAGCATCGAGTACTCGATCGAGTATGTATACATACTCGATCGAGTATGTATAGAAATCAGATTTTGGTCAATACTCGATCAATACTCGAGTAGATTTTATATGTATACCCGATCGAGTATATAAGTATACCCGATCGGGTATAGACACTCGAACGTGGGAAAATCTTCTCCTGCATGTTCCTTTGTTTTCGGATCCGATCCGATTTGAAATGTCAACCAGATACCCGATCGAGTATATGTATATACTCGACCGAGTATAGACCAAAATCAGGATTTTTCCTTCTTTTTGTCTTGTACTCTTGCACCTTCCTTCACCATTGATCATTTGATTGATCCTGGACCTGTTTAAGCTCAGAATAAACCTAATCTAAACAAATTACAAGAATTTAACAAACTAAACTATTACACCGAAAGTGTGTAATTTCCGAAATATTAAACAATCAAAACTAACTAAAAACGTAAATAAATATACGAAAATTACAAACGTATCAATATATAATAAAAACAAACAATCAAACAAATGAATCCAGTCTGGTCCTGCTCTAAAAAAATGGAGGCCTAAGACCGGGACCTCTTCTCCACCGGTCTGGTCCGGACCGGAACCTTTTTTTTTGGCCCATGTCTCACACCACAACCTTATTTTCTGCCTCTGATCTATTAAAAACCAGGCATTTTCGATGATAATCCAATCCGGGACCGAGTGTACGCCCGCCTAGTTTTCTTAATAAATGTTCGAATGATGAACTTGCTCTATATTTTACAAAGTTTTAGTATGCCAAACACAAAAGGTTCAATTGCTAAAGTTCTATGATCTGGATTAAAGTTTAGTTCTATGTAATTAATTCCTATTTAATTTTTCTTTGTATCTTCTTAAATCAGTAAATGGTTAATAATTGGGTTCTTACTATGCCATTTATTCATCTTGAAAATTGAATTTTTGTATGGCTAACTGAATATGCAGATTTTATTCTCCCCTTATTTTTCAATGAAAATTGGTCAAATTTCATAATATGAATTTCGTTTAATTTTATTTACTCTTCTAATTATGTTGAAATTTATAAAATTTTGGCTAGAGTAACTGAATTGATTGATTCTGCTGAATCATGAAAAATTACATTTAAAATATATTTTATTAATAAAATAAAATAAAATTGTATAAAAAATAGCTAAAACGGTCCTACTAAACTTCAGTCAAGCAAGCCAGATGATGGAGTATATGGCTCAGGAACCCCCGGCCCATAGACTCCTACTTCTCCTATACAAGTCCAGTGAGTCCAGAGAACAACTCAGGCCCAAATGCAACGGCCCAAGCCTCAAGAAGCCCACAGTACACACAGGGGTGCCTTCGGCCTCCTTGGCCGAAGGCTCCAAAACTCACAGAATAGCCTTCTCTGGCATACGAAGCTACTGGGAGAAAACAGCGAAAAACATGAGCCTTCAGCATTATCCTGCCCTAGGCATCAGAGAAGCCTTCGGCTGAACCGAGCCCCGGTCACACAGGGCCTTCGGCTACACAGGGGTCCTCGGTTCCATGGAGCCCTCGGCTACATAAGGAACCTTCGGCCAAACATGCTCAATCATCAAAGATTCCTTTTGGAGACAGCCAACCACCGCATTTAATGCCACGTCACATCCGCCAACCGCATTCAATGCGGTGAACGTACCACTGCCGGTGCCACCCGGCTGATGTGACCCCTCGGCCGTTGGATTACTGACACGTGTACTCTCATCGCATTTATTGCTGCTATAAATAGCAGCCCATTTCTCTTTGTAAACGATCCACATCCCAACTCCACACACAGAGTTCATTTAATAAATCGACTCTCTCTCCTCCTATTTTGCTCTGACTTCTCTCTAGTTATTCCCGCAATAACCCCTCGGATAAGACACCCCCCAGGTAGACTATCCATCACCAGACAAACAACTACTCCGTATAATATTACATTATTACTTATTTTGATTATTGCGCAGCTCAAAAGTTACATGTTTGATAATAAAAAAATGACTGATAAGACTAATAAGCCAAAAACTCTTAGGGCCTGTTTACTAACAGAGATATTTTCCAGTTTTTCAGAAAACTGGAAAACTAGAAAACATAAAATAGGAAACGTGTTTACCAAAGAAATTGCTGGAAAACTGGAGAAAGGAAAAAAGAAAAACGCGTTTACCAAATCGTTTTCCAAAACGGAAAAAATGAGACAGGTCTCTCTTTTCCTTAATGATTTGGAGAAGTGACTTTTACCAGTTTTCCAAATTTGGAAAACGCAGATGCTACAGTGCCGCTGCAATGAATTTGCATACTTACACCTAGTGGTGGGTTCGGTCCCGCTCCGATGTCGATTCCATTCCGGTACCTCCATCTCCGTACCTTACCCCTACCCTACCCCACCCCGCGTACCCATTTTTCTTTTTCCCCTGTGATGACCCTACCCCACCCCTTACCACATGCCCCCTACCTCGGCCCCACCCCGATCCACCCTACCCTACCGCCACCACCTACCACCTCGACCCACCCTACCCTACCCCCACCCATATATTACCCCTTACCACATGCCCCATACCTCGGCCCCACCCCACCGCCATCCTACCCCCACCCTCGTACCGCCATCCTACCCCCACCCTTCCGCCATCGTACCCCCCACCCTACCCTTCCCCTACCTCAGCCCCACCCGGATCTCGGGCCCACCCTACCGCCATCCTATCCCAACTCCCTACCCTACCCCTACCTTACCCCAACCCTATCCACTACCCCCACCCATACCGCCATTCTACCCCCACTCTACCCCTTCCCTACCTCGGCCCCACCCTGGTCCCGGCTCCACCCTATTGCCATCCTATCCCAACTCCCTACCCTACCCCTACCTTACCCCAACCCTACCCACTACCCCACACTTACCCCTAACCCACCCACTACCCCACCCAACCCCCTACCCCTAGACCTTACCACCCCACCCCGACCATACCCCTTACCCCACTCCCACCCATAACTTCCCGACCCCTACGAGTAGGTATGGGTGGGTATGAAGGTTTGTGGGGGAGTATGTGTAGAGTGTAAGATCATGGTAAGGGTAGGGGTCAAGAGTGTGGAATTAGAGAACTGAATGAAAAAAATGATGAACATGGTTTTGGATTTGAAAATGGAAAATTTAAAAATAGAAACAGAAAATTGGAGATAGAAAAACTGAAAAATAAAAACAGAGAATTGGAGAACGAACCCTTAATATTTGTACCCGACACGGGACCAAAATCCCCATAAGGCGTTTCCAGAATGCACCGATTCCACCGAATCCCTCCAACTCTGTAACTGTAAGCCTAGATGGCCGAGCGCCTTAAAATTAACTTACGTTTTACGTAGTATAAACTATTATTTTGCCATATGAGATTTTAACTCCTTGAAGTATTCAATTAATCAATTAGCTTCTTATTTGGCAGGGCCAACTTACCAAGGGAGGGAATGTATGTGCTCAAATGTTTTACGCCTGAAGAACATATACCCGCTTTTGAGTTTTGAACAGCACAAAAAGGGGGGAAAGGTAAAAGACTCTGCACTTCTGCAGCACAACACACTATGAACACACCGAGGGTATAGCATTTTGCTCAGAAACAACCAAATACAGTAAATACAACAGACAATCCGTAAGGAACATCCAAACATGGTATAAACGAGGTCTTCACACATCATTATATGTTAATTCCAATGGACAGAGTTAAGTGTCACTTCTGTCCAGCATCACAAGTATTTGAATAGAAGATATATCACTGTAATGAGAACCACTATCCCAATGACTGACAAAAGCATGCACATGCAGGAGCAGCCACCCTTTGTGCGTTTGTTTAAAATTGCAAGTCTCTTTTGTACTCTCTGTCGATTGTTCAGGAAATTCAAGTCATCAAAAGCAATAGAAACACACAACACATGCACCATACATTTAGCTATCATATTTTGGCATTGTGAACAAGTTACTTAGTATATTTTTAACCTGGTTCGAATGACCAGTGAATAGGTTTTAACTGTGTTGTTGGAATCTATTAGGGACATAAAATCAGGGAAATAAAATAGGACATAACATTCATACTATAGCATTTTTCATATTTCAGAAATGAGCAGTGTATTATTGTCATTCCCTTCTTAATTTCTCATGAACACCCTTTAGGAAGATCTTTAATTAAATCCCTTCCAACATTATTTCTTTTTTATTATGAAGAGCTAAACAAAAACATAAACATTGATGTTTTAGAGCAAAATAAATGCTTCCAAAAGAAGTATGCAACACGAATGTCACCTGCAGACGAGAGTCCGTAATATCAACATGCTGATCAAGATTATCCTGCATTGAGTGATAGGATTCCAAAAGCATTAAATTCATTACTAGATGCCACATTTCTTAGAAGAAAATCAAAGGGATGATACAAGATGGCTTAAACTGATGGGGGGAGAGGGTTTAAGAGTGAATTAAGAAAATAAAAAACCAGAATCGGACCGGACCAGGTCCATGCCTACATCAAACTGGTCCATGACACTAATACAATAGGTTACCAGGAGTACTCATTCCGGATTTCCTATTTACTTGAATCCATCCAAACAAAATCTATACTGCAATGAGTCGTGTTTGCAAGCTAAGTTCTTCATTGAGTGATAGCGAGAAACAAGTATCAACATTGATGAATAAACTGCATGGAAGATACATACAATGAGCCTTGTTTGTAAGCTAAGTTCTTCATTGACAGCCAGTGCAATATGCTTGGTGCTTATTACTGTCTCCTCCAATTTCTCGAGACCTTCATCTTGTTCTGTATAAGAGAAACACCAAGCAAATTAATCACATGCCAAGAGTCTATATTTAATTTCTCTTTTATCCAGAGCAACAAAAACTTACAACTTGCCTTTCATTACTTGTCGCTGAAGACCTACGATACCAGAATTGTCAAGGCCATCTGTTCTGCTCATGACATCCACAGGCTTCACTTCTGGTCCGAGTAAGCTGTCTCTATTCGCAAAATGGGACATGTTTAAAGTGGATGCCATCTGTTTTGCTTTTGCATTTAAATTTGCAAGCAAGTCCTTGCGGCGATTCATCTCTTTCTCAGACCTGCATAAGAAGGCTGTAGATTCAGATCATGTACTCGTAGGGATGCACAAGTTCTCATAAAAGGGCACTGTTAGAAACATCCTAGGTCCATGACCAGATGACCTTAATCTGCCTTAGGCTAATACATATTACATGCACACTCAGATGATCTATCGAAGAACATAATTCTCTCGAAAAATGGAAGGAGAACAAACTACTTCATCTATAGACATTAAAACTGTGAGTGACAGTGCATAATGAAACACGTCCAGTTACAGATGCCAACTCCTACTCTGTAGATTAGGAATAACATTAACAGAAGCGTCTGACATATTCAAAATATTACAGTGGCCAAGCACACCAACATCAGCTATACAAAGTTTGAGATGAGAAGACTTACAAAGGCTGCTTTCCAGGTAGTTTGCGCAAATGTGATTCTAAGCTACCGAGTCGAGTTCCTAATATAGTAATTTTCCTCCTTATAGCAGAAGAATGCCGCTGAACCTCTGTCCCAGTAGCAGGCAAGGAACTTCTTTCGGATATCATGTTAGTGATATCTTCAGCAAGCCTCACTGCTTCATTATACTCCTTTCCCCATGTATCTCCAGTTGATGCCATTGCCTTGTGAATTAATAACAAAAAAGTCAAAACAAATCCATCTGCAAAAATAACTTCTAGCATCAACAGTATGATTGAACACGGCGGAGAAGTTAAAGAAGGAAGACTTTAGCTTTGCTATGTGCGACTTAGTCTAGTCCTGAGTCTCCTGAATTGACTGAATTCTAAGAACTGGGTGGGGGGGAGTGGTGCTGATCAAATATGAATACAAGTATGCAACCGGCTTAGCAATTAGATAACTACATTTTCTAAAGTTAACTGAAAATGCCATAGTTTCCAGACCAAAATAATATTGCCAAAAGTTACATGAAACTGAACTGAAATTATGGCATGGCATCAGCTGAAAATTAACAAATTTGAGAAAAGTGCAATTATATATCTGCAAAGAGTAAAATTAATTAAAAAGAAAGAGTATTAGACAGTCTTCATGATGAGGCAATTTAGATCCCCAGCACTGCATTAAATCAATGCGTAAGAAATAACCAAACTTCAGTCACCGTCTCACGGAATCAAAGAGCAAGAAAAGCACCCAAACTTATGTCATCGAGCATCGAATTCAATTCAATTAATTAACAAATCGTTATCCCGAAATCAAAATTAATGAAGAAGAGTATCACAAATTCGTATTTGCAGTAAGTAATCAAGCTTCAATCATAAGAGGGATATAATCTTGCCTCTATCGTATGAATTGGGAACGGGATCGAATTGTCAACAGGGAAGTTGTAACAATCGGCTGAGGATTATATTTTGAATGGGAATCGGAGAGAGGAGACAGAGGGAGGCGCCACCCCAAGGCAAGATTTGTCGGGCTTCGACGTCGTCTTCCTTGCGCGAATTCTGATTGAGAGCGAAAAAAAGGCTTTCTTATTTTAGACCGGTACAGCTTATATTAATATTAATATTAATATTAATATACTCCGTAAAATAAAGTTATAAACTATACTCCATATGATCTTCTCAACATTGAAGTTAACCAAGGCTACCTATGTTTTCCGATTTTGAGTCTCTTCTCGGTTACATCAAAGTTTATAGTATTCATTTATGCAAAAATGTATAATTAATACTTCCTCCATATGTTTATGTTCATTATATTAAGTTTGACACATCATTTAAGGAATAAAGTAGTAGAAGATAATGAATAGTATAAAAAAATTACAAGAGAGTGTGTAAAAGTATGAAAGGGAAGAAAAAAAATAGAAACATTAAATGTAGATGAGTATTTAGGGAGTGTTTGCGATTGCTTGTGCTTTTTAAAAGTGATTTTTTTAAGAGATTATTGGAAAAGTGATTTGTAGTAAAAGTTGGTAGTGTTTGGGAATAGAAGTAACTTTAATTTAAAGGTAAAAGTTGGAGTGTTTGGGAAAAAAATGATTTTTGATGTAATATTTGGTTAATGACAAAAATGCCTTTGCTATCTCCATTTACTACACAAGAGCCATTCGGCCATGAGGCATCATGCTCTGACAGGCCGCAGGGAATCAAGGGAGGGGAGGGTAGTTTTGGTTTAGTAAAATATTTGATCTAATAACAATACCCAAAGTTGGGAGTATTTACATAAATACCAATAAGCTGATAAAAGCACCCCCAAGCATGCTTTGAACTTTTGACTTATAAGTGCTTTAATTTAATCTAAAAGTTGTGTATACAAACACCATTTTTGGCTTTTCATTACAAAAAAAGTCAAAAGCACTTTTGTTTAGAGCTTGCAAACACTCCCTTAATAAAAGATAAACTTACCAAAAATGGAAGTGTAATAAACTTTTAAACGCATCCTAAAAAGAAAAGTGTGAAAAACGTAAAAATATGTAAACTCTTTATTTTAAAGATAAATTTTAACTTCTCAATTTTTATTTATATCTATTCTTGTAGCCAGCAATATAATACTCTATCATTATAAGGACCGCTTGTAATGCATACATTGAATACTGATATGGATGAAGCCAACTATATAATAGTGCATCACATTTTTTTACGAAGCAAAATTGTATGATGTATATTTATCCTCCTCAAGTGTATCAGACAATGTCCTTAGTAGAATAATACACATGAGAATAAAATTAAAAATAAGAATTTTGTTAAACTCGAATTACTATAGTCTATCATTTGAGAGAACGTGAGTCACAACTTTAAGATTTTAAAAATGATTAAAGTGGTGTGCTGCTTCAAGGTGGTTTCAAAGTCATATACTCCGTAGTAGTTTTTTCATAGCATATATTCTTCAAGTATGGCTCACCTTATTGTACATCAACTTCGTCGTGTACCCCATGCATACTTGCCATCAGACAAACCATTCAGATTCTAAAGATAAATCCACCTTATTGTGCAGCATTTTCAAGGATATCAATGTTCGGGAGGAGGAAGTAGCAACAACTAAAACATTGTACGACACTAGTCCTTTAGAAGATAACCATGTGATGTGGCATGGTCTACAAAGCAAGCATCACTTGTGTTAAGGCTAAAACACGAACAAACTTTTTGGAGGAAGTCTCATATTAGGTAGCAACCACCATTTCTATTGATAGAGGACAGTTTTAATTTGGTAACACTTGTGTTTTCCTAAGACCATTTGGAGTGGTGTGAGTGTCAGAATGTCAAAAATGGACTCCGTCCATATGAAAACAGTGTTTCGACTCCTATTTTCTTACATTCCAACATCGTCAATAAAATGCACTCTGCATGTTTTTTTACATATCAGTTTAGTAAAACATTGATTAAATTATTATAAGTAATGTTTTCATTTTAATATTTTACTCTGAATAATTATATTATGAAATAAAAAATACACATTTCGATGTAAAAATAAATAAATTTCATTAACTTTTTATATTTTCCGGTTAACAAAAATTGAACTTAGTTCAAGTAAAGTTCGATTGTGCAATATTAAGTTATTTGTGGAGGATCCATGAATTAAAAAACTTGTGTTTCTTGTTATTTTAGGTTAAAAAAAACTTCAACAATTATAACTTCAAATTTTGTTTGTCATTTTATATATTACATATTGGTGTCATATTAAAGATCATAAAAATTCATGAATTTTTGATATATTTTCTGAAAAGTTTGGATAAAAAATAAAAGAATTATAAGAGTTTTTTTGAAAATTGTGATTTTATAACATCACCCATGATGTCATTCGATTGCATCTCCCAGCGCATCGCCGCGGACAAAGCCTAGTTTTTTTCGTTTTTTTCTTTCCGCCTTGTCAAAGACACCTTCTATATTTAAAACCTTCTATCCACTTACCCACTTTTAACCCCCTTTGTAACCTACCACTACACACCATTAGGAGTCCAAAATTTTTAAATTTAACACTTTGGACTCCTAAAACCTTACCACTACAAATGGTCTAAAGGCATTGGTAAAGTAGTAGTTAACTTTTATCAACAACTTTATATACACGAAGCCACGACTGACCATGAACTTTTTATTCAACACATCCCAACACTTGTTAACGAATAAGAGAATGCAAAGCTCATTTGTCTCCTTGGTACAAAGGAGGTCAAGGAAGCAGTTTGGTCACTTAATAAGGATGTTGCCCTAAGCCCGATGGCTATAGTTGTGTTTTTTTTCTTTAGAAAATGATGGGAGGTGGTTATTGATTGTTGTCTATTAGTAACCATATATTTTTTTCTTGGGTATCCTAGTGCTTCTGGCTGTGTCCAGTCCCCAGCTTGATGTCATTCCTTAATGTTCTCAAGTATTACTTTTGTGTATGTTAGACTTATTTTTCTCTCATCCTTCATCAATACGGACATAAGGTAGGTGTGTACATAGAGCTGAGCCAACATCATGTCTCTCTATATTCTCATCAGGTTTGGGTTTTCTCACGAATTGGTCACTTGATTATGCATAACTTGGAGATAACATATTAACATGTCTCTCCTCACATGTCCCTTGAGCTTTGCTAGAGAGTGAAAACGGGTCTCATTATCCCCTATTTTGTTTATCCTGTATTCAGATGGTTCTGTTTCTCTTTACTTGTGGCTAGGGAAGCCCCTCTCTTAAATGTCTAGCTTTTGTAGATGACCTCCTAATGTTCCTTAATGATTTTCCGACAGCTCTTCTTAGTCTTTTAAATTAAAGCCTTTGCAGGCATACTCGCTAGCCACTGGTCAACTTATTAATTATCATAAAATTACTTATGCATGTTCGTGGCTCCTCACAAGTTGCCAGTGGGAAGAGAAGATTATGGAAAAGACTTCTAAGATGTCCTACTCCAAGTTTCCATCTAATACGTTGGTTTTATATTTCACAAGGGCATTAATAGATCTAAATATTATTATTATTATTATTATTATTTTAAGAAAAAATGATTTTATTGATAAAAGAAGGAATAGTACAATGCGAGAAAGAAGTAAAAAGAAAAACAATACAGAAAAAGAAAAGAAAAAAACATTAAACTAGTCCCAAGGGGATATCTCTAGACCGAGACATAATTATCATGTTGTGGTGCCTTTTATTCTTCTGTGATTTCCTGTAAATTTTGAATTGCGTGTTCAGTTTGTCTGTTGGCAGGCAATTTTCCGAGTTTACGAAATTTGCTTTGCGGCAAATCGTTGTGATGAGTTTGGACTTCCGGATTTCTTCCACGTATGAGATTGAAGGTCGACGGTTGTTTTCAATTGCATGTCCCAGAAAGTCGTATGTGAAGAAAGAGTCATCAGAATGCTTGAAACTGTCAGAGACGACTGAGTAAGCCTAGATCGTTGGTAGCTGGAGTTGTTTCCTTGGATAGTGCACCTGTGGATTCTCAATACTTGTTGAATGGATTTGATAATTAAATTTCAGTTTAGAGATTGATGCGGGATCCTTGGTTTCAATGGTGCTCTCGTGGTGCAAAGAGATTGAGTCGTCGTCATGTACATGCTTTGGCATCCCTACAAAATTAGAAAAATGTTGAAAAATTTATACAGGCTTGATTTTTTAGTATTGTGCTTAATGATGAGGGTTGAGTTAGATCACCTACTTTACAAGTAGTTATTTTTTTGTGTTTGCATTTGAAATTGAGAACTTTTAGACAAATTGATTACTTCTATATTTTAGATACTTAATTGCTTGGATTAATCTTGGGTTATGGTTTAGCTTGTACATTAGGTTATGTGAGAAGCGAGTGTGTCTATAACACCCAGTGCATGTTTTCTTCCTCTGCAATACAACAATTCATTTTTAAACTTACTATAGGACCAGAAGTGGTGACTCAAGATGCGAGAGACGATGGCAGGCACACTGTTAAGGTAGAGAGGCCCATTAGTGGTTGCTTGAAGAAGAACCTTCCCCGAAAATTTTACATTAAAAAAAGAATTTTTTTTAATAAAAATAGAAATACAATTGTTATCAACGCAAAGCTTTTTAGTTGAAAGTAAATTAAATTTAAAGTATGGCACATGATAAATAGATTTTAACAAAAGTGGGCGGTTGAACGAGAATAAAGAAACATCACCAATATGAACAATGGAAAGTTGAGTATCATTAGCAACCCTAATAGAGATAGGGCCATCATAAGGAGATTTATTGACTAAAATACCTTGTATAAGAGTCATGTGAGCAGACACTCTAAGGACAAGTAATGGCAGAGTGACATGCAGAGTAACATATTTGACAAATAACCGGAGGTGTAGTAGAACCAATAATACCCTCAACTGGTGGAAAGCCTGCAAAAACAACGTTAATATCACAAGTAGAGAAGAGATTAACATTTAAAGTGAAGAATATTGATTTACTTACAATACTAGTAGTGGACAGTCTAGGTGCATGTGCACCCCCTTGTTGCTGTCCGAAAGTGGGAGGCTGCAGTGCTCCCGTTGCTGCTGGACGTACTGCTGGAAACAGCCCCTGCCACGGCCCCCTCTGCCTCGACCTCCTCTGTCGCGGGGTGCATTCATCGCTGCTTACTGCC